CTTGTGGTCGTGGTGCCCTTTCTAAAGCACTGCCCTTGTAAATCATGTAATGGAATGTGACACTGAGCCAGCTGGTTAGTTGTGTGTGGTTTCTGTGGGGACCTGCATCCACTTTCCATGCATGGCTGGCCTAGTCTAGACAGTGGGTGAAACCTCTGGCCGGGATAAGGTGAGAGGGTATAGAGGAAGAACAGCTTTCGTGAGACACCTGAACTCCACTCATGGCTGTCTGTGACTATAGTGTCAGTTTAATCAGGTATCTCCAGGGGTGTTTTTAGAGGTGTTAATTATATAAGATTGAATGTAGAGAGTAATTATCTGGATAATTAAAGTTGAATAAAACCTATTTTACCGCAAATTTTAGGTCATTGGGAAAAAGTCTGAATTGTATTTATATACCACTTAGAAAAGTATTCTTTTTTACGTTATAACAACAACAACAACAAAAAAAACCTATTTGGAAGGAGGGATTCCCAAATGTGGAAACATTTAAATTTAAAGGTTCATTAAATTTTTATGTGATTTAAAATTTTTAGTGTCTGTGTCTTTGCTTTAACTATTTTTTCCTTCCCTTGTCTTTCCTTGAAGGCCAGTTTGGGACCTCTTCTGCCTAGGAAATAGAGTACTGCCTGCTCTGATGACACTTTGGGGTACAAATAAGAGATTTCATCTCCAGCGTTGAAGGTAAGGCTGGACACATAATCAGCAATAATCATGGTCATGATGGTGTTTTTCCCAAATATTTAAAACACAACAACATTTAACCTCTTTGTTCTCTGACCATAAAGAAAATGACTCCATATACAACTTTTTTATACTTGCTATCCTGTTTTTTAAACTTTTCTGTTTTAGATGTTATACTTTTATCTGCCTACTGAAATTGTAGGCTCCTTGATAGGCAAAAATGGAGGATACAAAACTTGTTGAATTGGATTGAAAATCAACTTTTACTTACTTTGCAAACCACATGGTCTTCATTTATTTATTTTTCCTCAACAGAAAATGAAAGCATTAGTAGAAAGAAGGAGGAGTGTTCCATCTCTTCTCCCAGATAAAGCCCTGCAGGAACAGCCTGGTACCAGCATGTAAGTGCAAAGCCTTGTGCTACACATCTGATATGTGCTTGGAACTTTATACTAGATGAAGAGTTCTCAGATCACATTTTTCATGTGTGGGTGTTTTTTTTGTTTTCCTCTAGCACCAGCATTCTCTATTTAGTCGTAGAAAACATGACTGCTATCCTAAGGTTATTTAATAAGACCTCTTCTTTGTGGGAATCATACCGCCTTTTAGAGCTGGTGTGTAAGCTTGGTTGGTTTAAAACCGATTCAGTAGTGAATCTCACATCACATAGTACACAAATATGCAGCTTTCATATTTTATCAAAGTATATTTGTAGAAACAATTATAAATCAGAATACTGTAAAATGAATGTTGTACACAAAATATTGCTTATGTTTTATCATAAGGTGATGCCTGTGCATGAATAAGGTAATTTGCCTCACCAGTTTTAGATATGAAGGAAGATAACCAGATTGAGATTATAAAAAATAGAATATTGATTTCTTCGAGATATTATTGGTTAAATTAATAAAATTTGAAGTGGGAAAACAGGCCAAATATGTAATAAAGTGGCCATCTTACCTATTGTGGCTAATTACTATTTCAGTGGATATTCTAAGGGTCTTTCATAATGTGTAGAAATTTAATGGATATTCAATTATTAATTTATTCATTCATTTTTAAATGGCATTTTTAACTCATAGCATTTTTTGTGTGTTCAGATGAATCCTGTGATGACTTTCCTCTAAGCTGTGAATCCTTTTATGTAAAGTGAAGTCTTCATCTTTATTTAAAGTGAGGGCATACCTACAGCTATGATATTTTTGTGAATGATGTGTTATTTTAACATAAAATCTATATGAAGATATGGAAGATTTTTAGTGCCACATAGACTCTATATCTAAATCCCATTTAATGAAACATATCAAAATACTTGGGTTGACTTTCTTCCCAGTACTCAGCAAGTTCTCTCTGATCAGTACTCTTTCTGACCCATCCCCAAAATACATATGCTTTAATAATTGGTTTGATTAGGAATATAAATTTCTTTTAATAGGTGCCTAATGAAAATAGTTTAAGTAGAATTGGTATTAATAATTTTTTGAATGATTGGTAGAATTCAGCTGTGAAACCATTGGGTCTTGGAATTTAATTTGATAGGAGACTTTTTATTACTGCTTTTATCTTATTACTTGTTATTTGTTTATTTGTTTTGTGTTTCTTCTTAGTTCAGTCTTAGTAGGTTTTATGTGTCTAAAAAATTCATCCAATTTATTTTCATATATTTGCTCATAGTTTCTAAAGACCATTTGAATTTCTACAATATCATTTGTAATGTCTCTTTTTCATCCCTATTTATTTAGTTTTCTCTCATTTTTTTCTTAGCAATCTGGCTAAAGTTGTGTCAATTTTGTTTATTTTTTTTAAAAACCCAACTTTTTATTTTATTGATATTTTGGTTTTTAGTTTCAATTTTATTTATTTCAGCTCAGATCATTGTTATTTCTTCTACTAATTTTGGGTTAGGTTTCCTCTTGTTTTTCTATTTCTGTGAGATGCATTGAGGTTGTTTATTTAAAGCTTTTTTACTTTTTACATGTGGGCACTTACTGCTATAATCTTCCCTCTTATGACTACTTTTTCTGTATCCCACAGGTTTTGAAATGTGTTTTCATTTTCATTTGTTTTGAGAAATTTAAAAAAAATTTTTTAAATCTTTTGACACACTGGTCATTCAGCAGGATGTTGTTTAATATCCATTTGTTTGTGTATTTTCTAATGTTTTTCTTGTTATTGATTTCTAGTTTTATTCCAATATGGTCAGAGAAAATGCTTGGTATAATTTCAATTTTTTTGAATTTTTAAGAATTGTTTTCTGACCTAACACATGGTCTGTCCTTGAGAATAATCCATGAGCTAAGAATAATAATAAGTATCTTTCAGCTGTTGGTTGAAGCATTCTGTAAATATCTATTAGGTTTATTTGGTCTATTGTACAGTTTAAGTCCAATGTTTCTTTGTGGATTTTCTGTATGGATGATTTGTCCAATACTGAAAGTGGAGTTTTGAAGTATCCAATGATTATTGTATTGACATCTATCTCTCTCTTTAGCTCTTATAATATTTGCATTATATGTGTGTGTGCTCTAATTTTGGGTGCATATATATTCAGAATTGTTATATCCTCTGGCTGAATTGACTTCTTTATCAACATATAATGACATTCTTTGTCTCTTTTTACAGTTTTTGTCTTGGAATCTATTTTATGTGATGAAAACATAGCTACTATTCCTTTTTTTTTAGTGTTTGTTGTTTTTTTGTTTTTGTTTTTTTTTATTTCAGCATATTATGGGGGTACAGATTTTAAGGTTTCAATAAATGCCCATTTCCCCCCCTCCCCCCACAAGTCTGAGTCTCCAGCATGACCATCCCCAGGATGGTGCACATCTCACTCATT